ACAGCTGATCTCCAGACGAGATCATTGAACCCACTCAACCACACAGTCACTATCACTTTTCACAGAATTTTCTTTCAGGTAAATAAACATTTTTATTCACTGTCACGTTACTATTGCACTGGACACAGATGAAAAACATGTAATATTCCGTACTACTTTGTAACGTTTTCACGACGTTATTGGTCTTCCTTTCCAACTTCAAATGGGCCTGCCAGCTTGAATGTGTGAGGTCTATTTCGCTCTTTGTCCTTTTCTATCTTCGGTGACTGCAAAGTGTCGACATGAGCCTCTCTCGGTTACTCTTGGTTACTGAGAACAGCAGATTTATGACCACGAACCATGACCTATTTCTGAATGTAGAAAAAGACAAAAAGCGAAACAGACCTCACAACACTCAAGCTGGCAGACCCATTTGAAGTTGGAAAGGAAGACCAATAACGTCGTGAAAACGTTACGAAGTAGTGCGGAATATTACATGTTTTTCATCTGTGTCCAGTGCAATAGTAACGTGACAGTGAATAAAAATGTTTATTTACCTGAAAGAAAATTCTGTGAAAGGTGATAGTGACTGTGTGGTTGAGTGGGTTCAATGATCTCGCCTGGAGATCAGCTGTTCTTCATAATTTGTTCCCTCCTCGAATGTTCAAGATCGACACAGTGACCCAGTGAGAATGATCTGTTTTCAGTATAGCAGGTTAATTTAGGAACGGATGGGTAAGTTTCATTTAAATTGTTTTTAAATTATTATTAATTATTCCATTTCAAACATTTTTATTTGTTGTTTAGAATTTCCTTTTTTACATTGTAACAGGCGACAAGAAATTGGATTCCGTATTCATTTTAAACAACAACTAAAAATGTTTAACCAGTTCAATTTTTTTATTGTGCTATGCCAATGGGTGCCGAGCCGTTTGTTCGCGACCTACGTCAAGCCCCGCTTTCGTACCCGACGCTGCCGTCCATGAGCCCGCGCGCTGTACGCGCTCGGATTGGTCAGTGTTTTTGCTTAATAATTCAAAATGGAAGCTTCAATCCACTTTTTCGCAAAGGAAAAAATTGTTAAGAATAACCCCACCTACCATCACCTCAGAGGGTGAAAATACGTTACGGGACACCCTGTATATATTATTAAATATAATACAAATAAATAGCATTATTATAAATCTAAATAAAGTCTACAATTCAATTGCTGCCTAAGCCGTGAACTAATTCAAAACATATAAAATTCCTATTCCAACAAACATAATGTTTATTTATCCAGCAGCACCGGCCGGTACATCAGCAACTGCAGCCTCCGGCACAAGAGCAGCATGCTGGGTATATCGTAAGTAGTTTCTTTACTTTCCTCCATTGCACGTTATTTCGGCACTTCATTCTTTATATATAATAACATTGTTGGTTTGTTTAAATGAATATACGCAGGTCATTAATATAAGATAGAATATATATTTATGAGTTTAACGAATACATACATAGTGCGTCTTCATAGTACAAAAAGGAATGAATAACGGTTACCCGCCAAAAGGATAGAATAGAATATATCTGCATCAGATGGTACCAACTTGTAATAGAAAAGTACCTACATGGTACGCGGGAAAAACCTACAAAACCCCCCCTCGGAATGACTTTCCTGTAAAGTCATTCCGCATTGCTCAAATCGTTAGGTTTTCTCAGTAATACATCTCGATGTGCATTATGCATTTTTGGACCTAGTGCCTTCGTTAATAGGTCTGCAGCATTCCTTGTTGTGTTTATATATTGCAATTTAATTGTCTTGTCCATTACCTTTTCTCTAATGAAATGATACTTTATTGAGATATGCTTCGTCCTTGACTTATCTATGTAGTTTTCGGCGTGTGCGATAGCTGCCTGACTGTCACTCCACAAAGTAATGGGTTGGTTCATATCCTGTAAACTTAGAGATGTTAAAAATTGCTTGATCCAAGTTGCCTCTCTTGTGCATTCAGCCATTGCCACGTATTCAGCTTCCATGGTGCTTAAAGCTATCACCGTCTGCTTGGTGCTTTTCCATACTACTGGTGTTCCGCCCATGGTAATAACATATCCAGTCGTGCTCTTTCTAGTTTTTACATCACTTGCCCAGTCAGCGTCACAATATGCTACTAGCGGTTCGTTTGAGCGCGAGTAAGTCAGTACCCAGTCCTTGGTGCCCTTCAAGTATATAAGAATTCTTTTGGCTGCGTTCCAGTGTGTTTCATTAAAATCGGAACAATGTTGTGCTAGCCTCCCAACAGCAAAAGAAATGTCTGGCCTTGTTCTCTGTGATATGTACAATAGTCATCCGATTAACTCTCTGAATGGTAACTCTTTTCTGGGTTGTGTTTCGTTCACCTCACTTAAGTGATCGGGCCTTACTTCCATCGGTGTGGTCGCCTCTCTTGCATCCTGAACTCCAAAACGTTTTATTAATAAATCAATATATTCACCTTGAGATAGTGCCATTTCTCCATTCTTTAGTCGGTTGAATTTGACTCCCAATAGATTTGAAACTGGTCCCAGATGCTTTGTTTCGAAATGTGACTCTAAAATTTCTTTAACATGTTTGCTCATTTTTGTGTTTTCTGCGGCCACCAGGATATCATCGACGTAAACAGCTAATATCGCTAGCCCCCAAACATTTCTTATTTCATATATGCAAGGATCCACCGCATTTCTGTTGAACCCTGCGTCCTTTAGTTTCTTGCCCAGGTGCTCGTTCCAACATCTACCGCTTTGTTTTAGTCCATATATCGACTTCTTGAGCTTGCAGTATAACTTTCCAGTTCCCTTCTCCTCGAACCCTTTGGGTTGTTTCATATATATCCTTTTCTTGAGATCGCTGTGCAGGTATGCACTCTTTATGTCGTATTGTTCTAGTTGCCACCTGTTCCTTACTGCGAGTGCCGTCAGCAATCTTATTGTATCAAATTCTGACACAGGCGTATATATATGTTCATAATCAGTGGCCTTCTCTTGTGTAAAGCCTTTTGCTACTAAACGTGCTTTAAATCTCTTAGTTCCGTTTGCAGATTCGATTTCCTTTCGCTTAAATACCCATTTACAGTCGACGGGGGTTACACCAGGAGGTAGTTCTTCCAATTCCCATACGTTGTGCCTCCTGAGCGATTCCATCTCTTCATACATAGCTTCAAGCCATTCGTTTGCGTCTGTATTCTTGATGGCTTCTTCATAGGATTTAGGTTCTTCACAAGTCGTGTCCTTTATTAAATTCGATTGCACGTTTTCGATCCTATCACCATCTTCCACCTCCGATTGCTCGTTATTACTGCTTCTTAGTCTCATGGGATGGTGTCTTTGGGGTATTACGCGCAGTTCGTCAGGACTCTTTCTTGGCCTTCCTTTCTTTCTTTCTACAGTAATAAATCCGTCCTGATCTGTTGTACAATGATTGTCTATTTCTTCGCTTTCATTTCCTATCATATCTAGACTGATTTCACTCTTAACTTCAACTGGTACGGGCAACTTTCTTTCTTCATTTATTTGGCTTGAGTATGATGCTTCTTCATTTTCTTTGAATACACAGTCTCTAGACTCTATTATTTCTTTCGTTTTAGGGATCCATACCCTATAGCCTTTTCCAAAAATAGCATACCCTACAAGTAAACCTTGCCGCACTCGATTAGTCAATTTCGAGAATCTTTTCTCCTTTGGTGTGTGTACGAAGGTCTCACAGCCTATCACCAGAAGGTGTCTTATACTTGGTTTCTTGCCGTTCCATATTTCGTATGGGGTTCGGTTTTCGTCATGGGTATTCGTTGTTCTGTTCCTCATGTACGCAGCTGTGTATGCTAACTCTGCCCAAGCCTCGTTCGGTAAGTTCGTGTCACTAATCGTACTTCGTACGAGATTTAAAAGCGTCCTGTTCATACGCTCCGCCACACCGTTCTGTTGCGGCGTGTATGTCATGGTTCTCTCGTGTACTATACCATTTGTATAACAAAATTCATCCCAGGCTTTTGAACAGAATTCCAGTCCATTATCAGTTCTTACTCGTCTTAACAGTTCTCCGGTTTGTTTTTCTGCCTGAATTTTCCATTTCTTAAATTCTTCAAGTACTTCTGACTTGGCCTTTAGAAAGCAAACTTTGGTGAAACGGCTTGCATCATCTATTATAGTTAATATATATCTGGCACCTCCCCAACTTTTGACATCAAGCGGACCCATTACGTCGGCGTGAACAAGTTCAAGAACTTCAGTCTTCAAATCTTTGGTTAGCTTTGGGAATGGTTGTCTTTTCGATTTACCAACTAAACAAATATCACATGGTGTTGGTTCTGATATGTCGCAGTCCAGACCATTTACTGCATCATTCTTTACCATTTTTATGATTTGATGTTTGTTGATGTGCATGAGGCGTTTGTGCCATATATCCAGGGATAGCTTGTTTGACTTTTCTGCCTGTAGCTTTGCTACTTTTCCACTATTTGTAATCTGTGGTTTTGCCTTTAATATATATAACCTGTCCCTTTTGATAGCTTTCATTAGTGTACTGTTTCTTTCATCGCATATGCGGCATCCGAACTTGTCAAAAATGACCTTCTTTCCATTTTGTATCATTTGTGTGACTGATAGGATATTGTTTTTAATACCAGGTACCCATAATGTGTTTTCAGCTTCAAATTCCTGTAAACTTCCTCTTGCTTCAATAATCTCTGCATTTACTTTGCCTCTTCCAGATACTTGCACTATCGTCCCATCAGCCATTGCAAGATTTTTAATTTCAGTACCTGTTTTAAGAAATGAGAAGTATTTTTCATTTGGTGTCATGTGGTGCGTAGCACCAGAGTCTATCACCCATGCATCCTTATCACAGGTTGTATCACTTAGCACTATGTTCATGCTTTTTTACTTTGGTATGATTCCTCGGGGGATTTCTCCTACTCCTACAATTTCTACTGATGTGTCCAGGCTTTTGACATTTAAAGCATATTGTTTCTTTCTGTGCATCTGTTTTTCCCCTTTCCGGCTGTTTCTCTTTCCTATGCTGAAATTGAGAATTGTTAACTTCCATAATTACTGTAGGTTGCTTACCATCCAATTTCTCTTTTCGTCTTTCAGCTTCTGCGAGAATGTTTCTCTTAATATATGAACACTTAAATTCATCTTCCGGTACATTACACAATGCTGATACCACCGTATCCCATTCTTCCGGTAGTCCACACAGGATTGTCATTGCTAGGTCTCCATCCTCTATGTGGTTGTCTACGCTTGTCAGTTCTGCTACTGTTTGGTTTATTTGTCCTAAGTATGCTTCCACTGACTCGTGGTCATTTAACTTTATTGAATATAGCTTGCGGCGCAATTGTACTATGCGGTATTTGCTGTCACGTGGAGCATACAATCTTTCAAGCTCTTTCCATACTTCTCTAGGAGACGTTAAATGTCTTACATGCATCTGTTGTTCGTCGCAAATTGCGAGCACAATCTTTGCGAGAGCCTTTCCTTATCGAGACACATATTTTGCCTTCTCATCGATATTTTCTGGTTCGGCTTCACCAGGTTCTATCACCGTGAATAAATCACAATTCAATAATATCATCCTCATTTGGTAGCTCCATGAGGCGTAATTCGTACCATTTAACTTGCTTATGGTATAGGTTTTATTTTCAGTAGCCATCTCAGCAACACGTGGTCGTATGCACTTTTAGGTTATATTCATTCGCACATGGCGTTTCTCCACACTGGTTGTTTCTTACTATATACTTTACCCTTCCTTCCGCGTAGGCTGGGGCCATAACCATTTGTTGGTTTGTTTAAATGAATATACGCAGGTCATTAATATCAGATAGAATATATATTTATGAGTTTAACGAATACATACATAGTGCGTCTTCATAGTACAAAAAGGAATGAATAACGGTTACCCGCCAAAAGGATAGAATAGAATATATCTGCATCAGATGGTACCAACTTGTAATAGAAAAGTACCTACATGGTACGCGGAAAAAACCTACAAACATAATGTTTATTTTTCCAGCACCACCAACCGGCACAACAGCAGCATGCTGGGTATACTGTAAGTCGTTTTGTTACGTTCCTCTTTGCACGTTATTTCTGTTATTCATTGTTCGTATATAATAACATAATATTTATTTTTCCAGACATACATATCAATGGAGTAGCGGCGGTTGGAGCGGCAGCGCGTTAGGGAATGCCGCCAGCTGCGGCGGCAGGCCAATCTAAACCGCGGTCGCGGCCAACGCAACCTTACTGGCGGCCTGGGTGGGCCGAGTGCGCAAAACTGCGTTGCGGGCCGCGGTACGGTCTGCGTAGTTTTGTGGCCCAGTGGCTGCATTTGCGGGCGGCACATGTAAAAAGTGGGTACGATGATAATATATGTATAACATCTGATGATGACGAAGATAATACAAAACTATAATTTGTTTGATTTCAGGAACTATTACTACTACTATTATTATTATTATTTTTCTATTATTTTATTATTTTATATTATTATTATTATTTTTGATCATCATCATCATCATCATCATCATCATCATCATCATCATCATCATCATCATCATTATTATTATTATTATTATTATTATTATTATTATTATTATTATTATTATTATTTATCATCATCATCATCATCATCATTATTATCATTATTATTATTATTATTCTTTTTATTTGTATTATTATCATTACTAGATAGATAGATGGATAAGTTTATTCCGCACCCCTTTCGGGCTTGCGGGGCGCTTTATGGGTAGCGTTCCCAACCTTACGTCTGATTGTCTCTGTTTACTTTTACACATGTAGCTTACATCCTAACCCTGCTTTTCCTTATATTTCTTTCTCCTTTCCTGCTTTTCCTTCGCTGCCCTGTCCTTCTTTTATTCTTTTTTTTTACAAAAACTGTTTAACTCTATCTTAAAAGTCTTGTCTCTCTTAGTCACAGTAAAAAGAAAAAAAACGTCGCTCAAAATAAAAAAAACAAAATTAGGTATAAAAATATAAAAATAAAATGGATGATTTAAATACTGATAATACTGATAATACAGCCTCATAGATCATAGTTATAAATCCTCGACATACATATTGCGTCTTAGCTCAGGCTGCTTTCCTTCTGCACCCTGTCTCAAACTAAAACTAAAACTAAAACTAGAGTAAAATTGAATACAAAGAACCAAAATAGAGCAGAAAACAAAAACAAATAATACAAAAACAACCAAGCTTGTGTTGCCATGATCTATAAGTGAAAAGCACTCAAAAAGTGAAAGTAATGTCACAAAATATTGGAACTTCGCACTGCTGCTGCTGCTGCTATAGAATTGCACAAAGAACTAGCACTTATGCAGAGAGTGTCTGTTCTAACAGGAAGGTGTATCACATGTTTCCGGCTTCTTCTGCTTTCTTTTCTCTTCTATTTCTTTTGCACGCTCTTCCATTTTCCTTCCTCTTCAATCCATTTCCACTCTGTCCCGTCCACCCAGATTCTCCCATTGGTGAACTCTACCTTTCTCCCTTTGCTTTTTTCTTCTCTAGCTTTCTCTTTAATTCTCCATTTCATCTTTCTTTCCTCACATGAGAGATCTTCTTCTACTACGACTCTCCATCTTTCCCATATCTCGTCCTTCTTCCATAGCATCGTGTCCCTGTCCTCTTCATCATCTAGTTCCATCAGAATGAGCTTTCGCCCCCCTTCCCCTACTAGTTCGGTTGTCTTCCTTATTTCTGCCTTTTTTCCCATCTCCATCTGTAGTATAATTTTTGTTTTTCTGACTCTTTCTTCTATACTGTTACCTCCTACTCCTTTCCAAACGAGACTTCTTTTCCTCCTCTCTCTTCTTTCACTTTCTATTTTTCTTTCCCACCTCTCCCTCCAGTCCTCCTCTTCCTCCTCGTTCTTGCTCGACCCTTCGCCCCTTTCCTTTTCGCCTTTTTCTTTCTCCTTGTTTTTTCGCCTTTTTGTCTTCATTTCCCCCTCTTCTATTTCCGTCTCCTCCGCTTCTTCTTGTTCGTGACCCTTTTCTCCTTTTGCTTTATCTCGCTCTTCTCGTCTTTCTTCTTCCTTTACCTTGTTTCGGTTATCTTCCTCTTGTTTGCGCTCGTTGCCTTTTCCCGGATCTTCCTCTTCTGCCCCTTCTTCTTTTCCCGTTCCTTTTCTCTCTCCTTCTGTCTGCTTTTCACTGCCTGTTCTTGTTCTTCCTCTTTTCAGTTTTTTCTTTATCTCCTCCACGTTTTCTCCTATCTTTTTCAATTCTTTCAGGACCTCTTCTCTCCATTTGCTTTCCATTTTCTGCTGTTCTCTCCTTCTTTGTCCGCTTCACACACTCTTTTCTTTTCTCTCCTACTTTTTACTACTCTATAATCCCTTATCTTGCTTTCGTTTTCCTCGGCGTTTTTCTTTATAAGAGTGGTGCGAGGGCCACTATATTAATATGACTGTCCCTGCGGATTCCAGAACTTTCTATGACAACGAATGTTATTAACAAAAGATAGCGTTCCATTGCCACGTGCTTTTTCAGCGGTGCCAACTGCTTTTCGGCTTGCTGATGGCGCCCTCCCCTCTACTTCCACCTTGCCTCTTCCGTTCGGCGTAAGTGCTGCCGTCAGTATTACCGACGCCTCTCTTCTCTGCCACTTAGTTTCTGCTTTCTTCTTCTTCTTCTTCCCCACTCCTTCTAGCTTCTTTCATCTCTTTCATCCACGCTTCGCCTGCTCCTTCTTCTCCCAGTATCTCCTGCACTTTTTCTTGCCACCCTTCTTTACGTTCTTCGTTCGAGCTGCACCTCTCCCATACGTGCTCCCATGTTTCCTCTTCCCAGCCGCATTTTCTGCACTTTCTTTTCTCCTCACCCTCCCAGTATCTGGCCTCGTTTACTTCGTTCCCCAGTCTGAATCTGGCGATTCTTCTCCACCTCGCTTCCTTCCATCCTTTCTCTAGGTATTTAGGTATTCCGGGTTTCTTAATCATCTTATACCACTTATTGTAACTTGATGTCTTTATCTTTTCCCATCTCTCTTTTTCCTGTTGTTGCATGTCTGCCTCTTCCATCTCCTCGTAACCCATTTCCCCCTCCCTTCTTTTTCTTTGCTGTGCTTCGATCCCTACGCCTCTCTCGGTCAAGAATATTTCTCTTTCGTCCTCCCATTTGTTTCTTTCCACTCCTCTTTGCTCTCCTATGATCATTTCTTCCCAGCATTCCCTTGCCAACTTCCCTCCTCTTCCCTCCCACAGCTTTCTTTCATATCCCCAAGCCAGCTTTCCGGCGTTGGTCCTCATTTTCGCCCTTTGCAGCTCCTCCCTCATCATATACCCCGGGGTGCACCAATCCGCTCCTAACGTCCACCTCAGGAATTTCTCCTGCAGCCCTTCTATTTCTTTCCATTCCCTCCATCCCCACATTTCTGCACCATAAGCTATTACCGGCCAGACCATCCTGTCCCAGAGCCACAGCCTTCTTTTCCAGTCCTTTCCAAATCTTTTTTTTCCGATTCCCCATATTTGTCTCATTACTATTCCTGCCTTTCCCACCCTGTCCTTTATATGCATTTCACTCCCCCCGTTTCTTCTTATGGTGTACCCTAGGTATTCGAATGCTTTCACCTCCTCCATTTTCTTTCCCTTCCACAGCCAGTCCCTTTTCTTCCACCTGCCTCCGCCTTTCCTAAACCTCATCACTTTTGACTTTTCCCGGTTTAGCTCCAGCTTCTTTTTGTCTAGGTACCCCTCTAGCTTCCTTATCATCACCGCCATGTCCTCTTCTTTCTCCGCCAACAGCACTACGTCATCGGCATACGCCAGAGTATATATTTTCTTTTCCCCCAGCTTTATTCCACCTATCCCTCCTTTTCGTGTCTGCTCTTCCATGTCCGCCGTTAATATATTGTATAGTAACGGGCTCAGTGGGCACCCCTGTCTTAGACCTCTCGCTGTCCAGAACGGATCCGTCGTTCCTTCTTTTGTCCTCACCTTGCTCTTGGTTTCTCTCATTAGCTCCTTTATTCTTTCTCTCAGCCCTTTACGGACTCCTCTTTCTCTTAGCGTTTCCATCAGCACCCCTCTGTCTACCGAGTCAAAAGCCGCTTTGAGGTCGATGAAGCAAGCAACCACCTTCCCTTTTTCTTTCCTTACTTGTCTATTTACCATGTAGTTAAGCACATATATGTTACCTATTTTGCCCATGCCTTTCCTGAAACCTGTCTGATTCGGGGGCAACAGCCCTATCCGTTCCACCTCCTCCGTTAGTCTTTCCGTAAGCACTGCCGCATAAATCTTATACGCTGTTGGCATCAGGGTCACCGCCCTGTAGTCTCCGGCCTGGTTACCATTTCCCTTCTTTTTGATCGGGGCTATTATCCCCTCTTTCCATCCTTCTGGCCATCCCTCTCCCTTCTATACCCTGTTGCATATCCCCCTTACCCATTCCATCACTTCCTCCCCTCCGTATTTCCAGACTTCGTTTGGAATTTCATCTCCTCCTGTTGCTTTTCCGTCCTTTAGTTTGGCCACCACTTTTCTTATCTCTTCCCTGCTGATTTCTTCTTCCCCGTCCCGTTCCGCCTTTCTTTTGCCTGCCAGAACTGCCTTTTCCTCCGTTCCCCCCAGCAGGTTCATGAAATGGATTCTCCTCTTCCTCCTCTATGTTTTTTGCACCTGTCCTTTCTTCTTTCTCTTCCTATTTACTATTTTCCAAACGTCTTTGTCTGTTCTTACCCCCTCCACCTCTTTTATGAACCTATCATTATCTTCTTTCTTCTTCGCTTCGCATAGCTTACTATACTCCTTCTTTGCCTTTTTATATGCTTCACCCTCCTCCCTCCCCCTTCTCCATTTTCTTAGTGCCTTCCTTGTTTCTTTTTTCTTCTCCATGCACTCTTCGTCCCACCATCTTTTAGGCTTCACTTTACTGCTTTTTCAGCTATCCCTCTCCAGTCCATTTCTAAATTCCTCTAGCATAAGTTCCATGTCCTCGTCTAGACTCCCTTTCTTCGATTTCCTCCATGTTATTTCCTCTCTGAACTTCTTCCTCCCTTGTTCCGTCCAGTCACCTTTCGGAGTGACCTTCCTTTTTGTTACTTCTTCTCTCCTTTCTTCTGTTCTCCCTTTTAGCTTTACTATTAGGGGGTGGTGGTCTGAATCTATCCTGTGGGGACACGGTAATAGACTACGTTATAGCGGAGGAGGAAGGGAGGGAGAGAATTGAGAGAATGGAAGTACCCCTACTTCCGTACTTCCGTAGTTACGAGTACTTACGTAGTCTATTACCGTGTTCCCTCTGGCTCCTGTGTATGTAAATTCCCCTTCCTCGTCCCCTTCCACACTCCCGTTTATAATTGACCAACCCGTCTTCCCTAAGTTCTCTAGCAGCATTTTTCCCTCTGTATTTATTTTCTTGTCCTTGGATTTTCTTCTCCCCCCTTCTTCCTCCTCCTCTGCCGCCATACCTCCTCCTCCTAATTCTCCTGTCCTTGCATTGAAGTCCCCCCCTATTAGCGTCGTCCTCTCTCCGCCAATTTCTTCCAGCCAGGTTCTCAGGTTTTTAACTTTTGTGTCCGCATCTTCGTTTACGTAAACCCCACTATCCTCCAGTTTCTTTCCCCTCCCTTTATTTCTGCCACCATTATGCCATCTTTATTCTCCTCTCCCCAGATCCTTCCTTCTGGCCCCATTATTTCTTCCTTCACCCCCATCATCATCCCTCCCATTGCTCTTCCATTTTTGTTCCTTCTCCTTGCTGGCTGTGCCTCCCACCTGTAACCTTTTGGCAGACCTTCTTTCACTTTTACCCATCCCTTCTCCTCCAGCCATGTCTCCATGAGCACAGCCACGTCCCGTTTCTTTATTGTTTCCCAGAAATCGGCATCTTTATTTCTAACCCCGGCGCAATTCCAGAAGCCTATTGTCCATCCCTCTTCCTCATTTTTTTTATCCGCTTTCTTCTCTTTTTTCCTCCTGTTCTTCTTTTCCCCTTCGTTTTTCCCCTTTCTTCCTTCGCGGTCTTCTTTTCTCTTTTTTTCTGTCCTGCTCCTTCGCCTTTGCCTTCGCTCTCTAAGTCCCTTGTGTTTCTTCCCCCTTGTTATGCGCTCTTTCTTGTATGTCCCCTCTCTTTCTACCTTCCCCATCTGTCAGCCTCCCACTTACGTCCTCCCATATCCACCACTTCCCCTCTATTCTTATTTTCCCCTGCTCCACCCATACATATTTTTCTTTCTCTCTTTCTTCCCTGGCAATTCTTCTCATGATCCACTGAGTTCTCCTCTCCTCCCATGTTAGATCTTCTTCGATTCTCTCCTCCCTTCCTTTTAGTGCCTTTTTCTCCTCCATTATTCTTCTTTTCAAGTCTACTGTCTTTATTTTTAGCTGTACCATGTTGACCCCTTTTCCCCCTTCTGTAGGTCCTATCGCTTTTACCTCTTCTACTGCTTCTTTTACCCCTATTAGTTTTAGTATTTCTTCTGCCTTTTCTTTCATCTCTTCCCTTGTAGTTTTGATTCCTTTTTTAATTATTACATTCTTCTTTCTCTCCTCTCTCTCTTTTCTCTCCCATTTATTCTCTAGTTCTCTCACTCTTTCCCCTAATCTCGCCCCTCCCACCTCCTCCTTTTCTTTCTCCATTCCCTCTTGCACTAACTTTTGTACTCTCTCATCTATCTCACTCCAGTCTGTGCTTCCTGTTCCTTTTCTTTCTAGCTCCTCTATCTTCCTCTTCATCTTTTCCATTTTTCCCTCCATTTCCCTTTTTTGTTCCGTCCATTTATCTTCTCTTCTCTTCATTTCTTCTTTCAGCTTCTCCATCTCAATTCTTAGGTCCTTCCCCATCATTCTCATGTTTTCGTCCATCCTCTCCATCTTCCCTCCTAACCCCTTGCCCATTTCTTTTATTAACTCTATTATTTTTCCCTCTCCTTCTTTCGTTTCCTTTCTTTCTTTCTTCTTCTCCGGAGATCTCTCTGTCAGAGTTCTTTTATTGGACATCCGGTCATTTGGCCCGCTCTTCTCACCCCCATCCCTCTCTCTTTCTTCTTCCTCCCCGCTTTCTGCGTCTCCTTTTCTTTTCCATATTTCTTCCAAATTTGTCATACTTCCTATACTTTGACTTCTCTCCCTTCTTAGTACCTCTACATTCGAGGGCCTTCCTCTTCTTCCTCCTTTTTCTACTTTTCCAGGCTCGTCCCTCGTCTCTCTTTCTTTTATTTCTTTCGTCATTTCTGCCATTCTTTGTTTCCCCCTCCTGCTTTCTTCTCCTGTCCCTGCCTTACCGGCCGGCTCTCCTCTCCTGCTCTATTTGC